CCAGGCCCTCCGTCTGCCCAGCCACAATGTACCAAATCAACACAGAGAAAGCTTAATGCACCAGAGTGCTCCGGGTAACTGAGGAATAAGCAAACCAAGGCTTGTGTTTCCGCGATTTGGGGTCAAAAGTCTTTCCAGAAAGTATGACTCCTCTGTGGTCTTCTGGAAGTCAAAGTCAGCAAAAAAATGATAGTAATGATTTTTTGTAAACTGAAAACATGACTGGACCTTGGCAGCCTGCTTCACCAGCAGCAACAGCCCCAGTTACCACTGTTCAGGGTCGTGGGGAACAAGGAGAAACGCATAGGAATGAATCGTTACTGCTTTCACAAAATGCCCTGAGATTGACTTTTGCTATTGTTGTTACTGCATTTTTGAGGAAAACTAAGCTATTCGTGTAGCTGCCTGCCAGTTGGCTTCTTGCTCTTAACAGTGGAATATGAAGACATTCTTGCTGGTGAACACGCAAGATCCATCAGCCCCACTCCGCTGAGGTAGCCTTCGTCCGCACATGTGTGTGTATTTTGTATATGCAGCTCTGTGTCATGGAAAAGTTACTGAAATTTTCTGACCCTCAGTCTTCTCATATGTAAAAAAGGATGATTAAATCAAGGTTGTCCCACATCTATGTAAAGCATTAGGAACAGTAAGCCCTTAAGTTGATAGTTATTATCAGCAAGAGGGGAGGGAAGATTAATAAATACATCTCCCTCTATAGTTTACCTCGCTTTCTCCCAAACCAAGATGGTCTCACTTCACTATTACCAGTTGTTAAAATGTTAGGCTCAGAGGTACTATATAATTTCTTTTTCCCAAGGACATCTTTGTACTCGCCACAGTAGACATCCTAGGGCTGGGCAGTGGTTAGAGAGACCCTGTTGGTGCCACAAGGACCATGCTTTCATGCCTCGCAGAATTCCTCTCTCTGGATGTAAATGCTTTTAAAGCAGAGTGCTGTTATCTCAAGGTCTGGCCCCTGGATTTTAGATAAGCTGGGACTTTCCATCAGTCTTCTTTCCTGCTCATGGTAAACATCATGTCTCTCAGAATGTGCCCTGTCTCGCCTGTAGGACTGCAAACAAGTCAGATGTTCAAACAGAAGGCTCCTGACACTGCCATGAAGAAGGATGGCTCTGGGAGGGCTTTTCCATGTTACACCAGATTTGAAGGCCAAAGGTCAGCTTGGACAACTCAGGTCCTCTATCAATAATTCTAGCCAGGACAGGACCATCCATTCCCTTCATCTTAACCGAGACCTATGATCACTCTGTTGGAGGCTGAGTGAACGGCCCCAGATAATCCTTAACATTCTTTCCCTTACTGAGTTTGCCTCCAGTAGAACGTTGTGGGCCCATCTAAAGCCAGCAAAATTTTTAAAAAGTTGGACAGTTTCCAGCTGTACATAGAAAACAACGTTTTTACTGCATGGGAGATAAAAATGCAGGGGAGAGATAGGTCTCTTTGGGAAAATTTATTGAGCCATCTTAAGAAGTGATGGCACAGGGATTCAGATGTCTAAAGTGGGAGCCCAGAGAAGACAACCACGAGGATATTCCTCTAAGTTCCGTGATTGACTTATACTGCAAATCTGTGTAAATGAGCTATAAAACAGCAGAGTGTAAAGAAGGACCCTTTCATTTCTACAAAGGAGAGGTTTATGCTAGCAAATTAGAGGTCATTGTCCAAACACAGTGCTAACCGTATCAGAAATTTTTGAATATGATGATTATGTCCTTCTTGGTCTTTTTTAGTATTCGTTTTTAAAAGATAATAAAACTCCTACCGATGTGTAAGACATTTTAAGACCAATAGGCAAAAATTATCTGCACCAAAAGGGTCACGGATAAATCTGGTTTCAGTTATTAGGAGGGAAAACTCAGACATGTGAAACGAAGCAAATATGGTTGATAGCTCTGGAAGAATTGGAAACAGAGATATTTAAGGAACAACAGTTGTCAACTGCACAGCAACACTGGTTACAGCACATACTGCTTTGGGATTCATTCTGTGTTGGTGACAGTGTGAAAGAGATGTGATGTGTCATCCGGAGACTTCTGGCCTGACAGCAGAGTCTCTTGGGTGTGGCTCAGTTTGTTTCGTTAAATTACTCTGAAAGAGAGCAGTAATTTTTTAAAAGATCTGTGTCTGTATGGAATTATTTTTTAATCTTCCAGCACACTTCCATGTCTGTTATTTTATGTCATTTCCTCTCCAGGTCCAAGAGGAGACCTGCCTGTGAACTAGAAGATCAAAAGGGAGGCTCCAGCTTTGGACGGGCATCCATTCTGGTCACGTGTCACATTGGAGGCCAGAGTTCTATGGCTCTCGAGTTGCCTCCTACATGATCCTTAAGAAGGGAATACCATTGCAGACACCAGCAGCAATTAGGAGAATGCTATTATTGTCATTTTGTTTCTCACAGCTTATGCGGAGGTAAAAAAAAAAATGCTCAAAAGAGTCTTTGCTTCAGAAAAAATGGACCTGAAAAATCACACTTGAGCTTTCAATTTCTCTTCTTTCTTCACTCACTTCTTACCCATCTCTTCCCCCACTCTGATTTATCCTTTCTGCATTAATATCTCTAACTTGTTAGATTTTCAGATATAATATCCTTGGCAGACCTGAACTATAGTGTTACTTTATCTGTAACCAGAAGGCAATGTATAATATTTACTCTCCTGAAACATAAGGTCAGACTATTATTATTCATTCAACATTTTTAAACTGATGAATTTGAAATGCAAATTGAAAACCAGAATTTTTTTTCCAAAATCAGTCTGCATACTTTTTCGTCCCGGGGGGCGACAGAGCAAAAAAGGGACTATCCAGTTCATTTTGCATCATGAGGCCATCAGCACTTCTGGCTGTCCAGTTTTACTCTTAAGCTCCCCTAGGTTTCCACATGAACACAACGCAACAGGGACAACCCTCCCCACCCCCAGCTTTTCATTTTAAGGAGTAAATACTGCCTGCAGACACAAACGAACATGTACTTTCTTAGCCCTCTCTTCTGGCTTCCCACAGAAAGCAGGAGCAGAGGGACGACAAAGGGGAGAAGGCGAAGATGAGACGGAACCAGGACGACTTTCATTAAGTCACATCTACTCCTTCCTAACATCTCCTTTCTCAAAAGCCTTCATGTCAATCCACAGCCAACAGAACAGCCCCACCCTCTAGAGGGAAATTCCAGCGCCCCCCACTTACCGTGTCTCTGTCTCTCCTCCCATCGTCCACCTCACTCCAGCCCCATCAGCCTGCCTGGGTTTCTCCAGACACATTCTGCTCTTCCATGTCCAAGTCCGCCACAAGACACAGCTTCCTTTCAGACCATGACTGGTCGGAATACCTTCATGCCAGCTTGCCGAATGCTCACTCTTACTTCTTGTCTATGTGTGTTTACGAAATTGAGATTCCTGGACAGTATTTAAAGTCTCCAACTTTGTCAGTGTTCTTATA